TTAAAAGACTGTACAGCCATGGTAAATATACGTAAAAATTTAAACAAACCTAAGTAAAATGTACATTTAAGAAAAAAAAAAAAAAAACCACTGCCATTGAGCTGATTCCGATTCATAGCAACCTCCCACTGGATTTCTAAGGTGGTAAATCTTTATGGAAGTAGATTGCCCAGTCTTGCTTGCATGGAGTGGCTGGTGGGTTTGAACCACCAACCTTCTGGTTAGCAGTCAGATGCCTGAGTCACTATACTACCAGAGCTCCTTAGAATATGCATAAGACTGACTAAAGTTATGAAATAAAATTATTTCGGTTTACTGTGTTAGCTCTATTTCTAGGCTAAACTATAAAACAGTATCCATGACAGCTGTTAAATGTGTTTTACCATGCTTTTCCACACCACAGGAAATAAGCAACACTAAGAATGCCTAAAAAGTAGTAGGGATATTCTTTAAGTGTACCTTATTTTTACATAAGTAATGGGCACATATACCATTCTACATCTGTTTGCCAACCACATCTCACCTCCTAGGTATTTTCGTAAGTGCTATGCCAATTTTTTTTTTTTTTTTTTTTAATATGGTGCTATAAAGACCAGCAAACCCAGCATAGGGTGCTTATGAAAATACTTGGGGGTTGGAGAAGGGTACAGCTGGCAAATAAACTTAAAACTGCCTGCATGTTATTTGTATAAAAATATGGTATATATACAAATCACTATATAAAATGTACTCGAGGTGTTTACCCTAGTTGGTGGGTGCCATCGCGTCAATTCTGCCTTATAAAACCAAAAAACCCAAATCCTGTCATTGAGTTGATTCCAATTCATAATGACCCTATAAACCAAGAAACCAAACATACTGCCATTGAGTCAGACCCAACTCATAGTGACCTCTCATTGGGTTTCTGAGGTGGTATCACTATGGAAGTAGATTGCCCAACCTTCCTTCCAAGGAGGGGCTGGTGGGTTTGAACCGGCAGCCTTCTGTTCAGTACTCACATGTCTTAGGCACTATACCACCAGAGCTCCTAATGACCCTACAGACAGATTAGAACTAGCCTATAGGGTTTCCAAGGTTGTAAATATTTAGGGAAGCAGACTGCCACATCTTTTTCCTGCAGAGTAATCTGGTAGGTTCAAACAGGTCTCCTTTCAGTTAAGTTAATAGTTCACCAGTTCTCTGGTGGAGCTGCTGGTCAGTTTGAACCATCCACCTTTCAGTTAGCAGCCCAGTATTTAACCACTGGAATGTCAAATGTAAATGTACATCAAACTGCCAGAAAAAAGTCATGCTTCAGTAATTGTAGGTTTTTGCCATTTCATAAGGTATCTTAGTTAACTGTGAAGTAAAACAAAGAATCCTTCATTATTTATTTTGTAAATTAAGCCATATAAGATTATAAAACCTCCTTACTTTACTAAGTTGCTACCTAGTTAAGGTTTTTACTAGAAGGGGAACTGAAGAAATGGTGGTGAACATAAAAGGTTAGTTATATTCCCACAGCAATTATGACTAAACCTTACAACTCTTTAAAGACATTATGGTAGGCAAGACTTCCTGTTTTTCTACTTTAACAAGGGCAAATCAAACCATATGCTGCTGCTATTGTTAGGTGCCGTCACGTCATCTCCAACTCATAGCAACCCAGTGTACAAAAGAACAAAACACTGCCCAGTCCTGTGCCAGCCTCACAATCCTTGCTATACTTGAGCCCATCATTGCAGTTTGAGAGCCTGTTTAACTCAACCAGTATTTTAACACCAGAGTTTCATCTGGGATCTTGAGAGAGTATCCTATCATGCCTCATATTATTGTCTTGTGCGTTTTTTTTTTTTTACTATATTATGCATTTCCATTCCCATCCAATCCTCCTTTGTTGTTGTTGTTGTTGTTATGTGCCGTCGAGTCGGCCCCGACTCATAGCAACCCCTCCTTGGGTTTCCGAGGCAGTATCACTA